TGTACCTGCCATTGTGTATCTGTTCCTCCTTCCTGTTCCTCTCAAACCCAGCCGGTCGAAGCAGATGGCTGCTTGTCCTGAGCCTGGTTCTGCTGGAGGTTTCTTCCTCATGAGGGAGTTTTTCCTTTCCACTGTTGCCTACATGCTTGCTCAAGATGATAGACTGCGATGAAGTTCAACTTAAAGCTTCACTCAGCTGGTGCAGGCGGAGGAATGCTGGAGAGCTAGTGGCTCCAGCTGTGATGGATGGATGGCGCCTCACCGTCCATTCGAAATGAGGCTGTTTTTACCATTAAATAAATGCATAATAAGCGTGACAGGTCAGTGGTGATGCATAATAAATGCGACTTACATTATATGCTAAAGCGACTTTTCCTCTTCATGATGCTTTTTTTGACTAATGTGACTTATACTCTGTAAAATATGGTATACTGTACAGTTTCTGAATGCTAATTTTACTTAATTTTTTTAAACAAAATTATTTGCTTTAATATTATTCCTGGTTTGAAATGCCAGCCAAATACAAATCAGCTGATAATCTATGCCTCAAAGTAAAATAAGACGATTGCTCCTCTTGATTATGATTATCTTCTTCTGTTGTATCAGTTTATTATGTGATACGAGGGCACGATTCAACATATTCTGACAATGCAGCTGCTGAATTTCCACTAGCCTCAACAGTTGCTGCAGTTTTTATCTCCATTTTGTATTGTGGGATGAATATAAAGGATTTTTTCCCCAAAAGGAAATGTCTTAAAAGTGAAAGCAAGAGTGAGGTGCTCCGTCTATTGAAATGCAAAGATGACATTTCAAAGAATACGAACAAGAGGAGCTTTCTTTGTGGAAGGAAGGAAAAAAATCATGTTTCAGTGTGTAATGTTTTCTCCACAAGAGTAGATAGAGCTTTGGAAATACACATTTTTTTTATTGACAGCTGAACAAATATGGAATACCAAATAATTTCTAGCCTTCGAATTTAAACATTTTTCTTCTTCATTTATTGAATGTAATGATAAAAATAATAAACAGTTACTAATATACAATATTCCTACGCTCAGAGGGGTGGGAAGAACTATACTTATATTAGCCCACCCTTTCGCCTGTGACCTTATTCCTATCTCTTATTATTCATAAAAAATAGAAATAAATAAATAAATAACAGTTAATAATAAACCAAATCAATAACCAAGAAAGTGCATTCCAAAAAGTAAACACCCCATGACCATCATCTCAAGACAACAATACAGTGCAGTCACAACAATGAGAATAGGTGACAGTAACAATAATACGGATTATTCAAGTCTGATTTTATAATCATTTTATACTGTGCTTTAATCTGCTTCATGTTTGGAAACTTCTGGAGTTCCACATTCAGCCCCACAGACAAAAAACACAGAAAGTTTTTCTTGTTCTTATTATCTTTGTTTGATTCTGACATCTCATAACTCATAAATGTCTTTCCCTTCTCTTAAAGAGTTTTTCAATATTTTCTGTCAGGTGGTTATTTTTAGCTTTATACATTGTTAGAATTGTTTGTAGTTTAACTATGTCTTTAAATTTAAGCAATTTTTATTGTATAAATAGTGAGTTAGTGTGATCCAGGTCCTGAGCCTCGTTAATTAAAATATTCATCAGAAATCACCCCTTATAGTCCAAAAGCAGTTTTCCTTGAACAATGCTATCTAGTTTCATTTCAGGAAGTTGCAGAGATGCCCTAAGCACTCAGTATGTTTATAAGTATTTTCATGTTCTGATGAGTTTTAGAGCCCAGGGTGCAAACAGACATGGGGAACTCAAAAGTAAAAAAAAAAACTGTTTTATCTTATTAAACACAAAAGAAAGCTGGTAGCAAAACTTACATGAACACAGGGAAACTTGGAGAAACGGAACATGATATGCTGTGGGAAGCACAATCCACGGACAAGGTGGAAACACAGAGACACCAAAGTTCATGCTCAACGATCCAGGTACAAATCCAACAATGTTCAGTCAGTTCATCTACATGGTTTCTTTCTTTCTTTCTTTTTCTTTTGCTGAGACGTTTCGTCCTTCATCCAAAAGACTCCTTCAGTCTGAGGTGGCACAAACAAACTGGAGTCCCACAAGCACCAACTCCCATTGTGGAACAAAAACAGTTTGCTGGTGATAAGATGGTTTCTGGGGCTCGCTCTCTCCCCCATCAACTCTTCTAAGGCAGCCATGGCAAAATGGTTCAAAATACCAAAAAATAAATTAATTAACTAGATGACCTGACTGAACGTTGTTGAAACACAGAGACGCTAAACTTAAAGGGACAGTAAGGAGACACCATGACGAACACGTGGGGTGATTGGAATAGGAAACAGGTGAAGCAGGAGCTGGCATCATGAGAGGAGAAACACAGGGGAACGCAGGAAAACACAATAAAATAAACACAAGAATCACAAACTCTTGCGAAATAACACAAAGCACTAATACAAAACAGATTCTCACATGCATTTTATTAGAAATGGATAAGATGTCAACAAGCAGGTACCGTAATATGTAACATCTGTTCAACATCACATTCCTTGGCCTCCCTGGTAAGGTCTATCCAGGGGTGCTGGACAAGTGAGTCGAGTTAAAGGGTGAACCTCGGATTCAGGAGGAACAATATGGGTTCCATCCATGGAACACTGGACCAGCTGTTTAGACGCACTGGGGCCATGAAGTGGGTGTGGGAGTTTGCCCAACACAGTCTGCATGTGTTTTGTGGATGTATAGAAGACATGACATGTTCCCTGAGGTACACTGTGGGGGTGCTCTGTAAGTATGGGATTGAGGGTCCGTTGCTAAATGGGCCATTTGTTACTTGCACCAATGCTGAGAGTTTGATTTGTATTGTTGGCAGTAAGTTGGACCCCTTCAGGGTGGACGTTGGACTTCGTCATGGCTGCCCGTTCTCACAGATTCTGTTCACAACTTTTATGGACAGAATTTCTTGGTGCAGCCAAGGGTCAGAGGGAGTCCAGTTTGGTGGCTTCAAGATTCAGTCTACTGTTCTTGGATGATTTTTGGATGTTGTTGGACATCATCAGCACTCAGTGGAGCGGTTTGTAGCCAAGTGTGCAGTGGTTGGAATGCAGATTCAAATGTCCATATCTGAGACCATGGTCCTCAGTTGGAAGAGGGTAGGTTGCCCTCTCCAGGTTGTGGGTGAGATGATGCCTCAAGTAGAGGAATTCAGGGATCTTGGGGTTTTGTTCACAAGTGAGGGAAGAATGGCGTGTGAGATCGACAGACGGATTGGTGCGGCGTCTGCAGTCTCTGGACTTCCGCAGGGTAGCTAGGCTCTCTCTTAGAGATGGGGCGAGAAGTTCAGCATCTGGGAGAGACTCAAAGTAGAACCGTTGCTCCTCCACATCAAGAGGAGTCAGTTGAGGTGGTTTAGCATCTATAAGGTTTCCTCCTGGACACCTAAGTTTTCTGGGCATGTCCAACGGGGAGGAGACCCTGAAGACCAAGGACACGCTGGAGAGACTGTTTCTCAGCTGGCCTGGAAGAGGTGGCTGTGAGAACGGTCTGTTCCTCCATGCTCAAGCTCCTGCCCCCACAGCCTGACTCTACAACAAGTGGCACATAGTGGCTGGATGGATCTCTCGTCTACCTTTGTTTTGAGGCTTAATGTTCAATCTGTTGCTAAATATGAAATGTGCTCAGTTCAGTATGAGACCTTTGCAAGATTTTCCAAAGCTTGTACAAGCGCCGTACATCATATTAATAGCTCAGTAGCCTGTTCATTACAAGCAGCTAATGAGATTAAAACTGTTCAGCTTTTAATGAAGAAATAATGTGATGAGGACTAAAGCTGAGCTGACAACGGTGGTGCAGCGGTGAGCACGTCTGCTGCTAAAAGCTACAGTCGATTCCAAATTTATTTGCATTCTTGCGACGTTTTCATTCGTGAGTTTAAAAAAAAAATCTAAACAAATTTTTATTTCAAGTTCTAAAATATTAAACTGTTAAGACTTTTTAATACAAATGTCAATTATTCACATATTTGCATCAACGATACATAATTTGATACATTTTGGACTTTTTTCTTATGACATATGATGAGTTTTTTTTTAAACAAATTAGTTATTTAGATTTGTATTTCCTTCGTTTATCCATCCATCCATTATCTTTACCCACGTCTTATTTTGTCGGTCACAGGGGTCACTGGTGCACGTTTCCTTCATTTATAAAAACTAAAACATTTGTTACATTTTTTTAAAAACAGTTTATGAATTCATTTTTCAGTGTATAATTAGGAAATTCATCTCAAATGTTCATTTACAACTTTCAAAAAACTCAAAAAGTCTATGTTTATTCTTAAACGTTCATAATTTTGTGAATGTAATCCCTTCATTGGCAACCCCGCCTGTAATGTTGGATCATTTCAATGTTTTTAGTCTTTCACATCTTTTTGGAGGTAATATTATTTGAACATTTGCAGTATTTATCTTGTGACTTTTAAAAATGATAAAGAATCCAATAAAATTTTGTAAGAAACTGGATATGTACCACATGGTGGTGCTGTAGCCCACAAATTAAAAAACAGTTGTTTGGTAAATGAACAAATGCTAAAAATGAGGCCATGTATTAAAAAAAAAAAGTCAAACATTTTAAAGCAGTTCATCTCTGATTTAAAGAAGATTTTTACATTCTCTTGCTTTTAGATTGCATGCTTATTTACTCCAATTCAAGTCTACCTGTTGCACATGGGCCTGTGGTGTATTGATCCAAAAATGA